TTGGACTACGGTTAAAATGGTCTTGGAGCAGGTACTCAATGTTACCCTTCCCCTAGACCCGCTACACTATCTTTTGGGGCTACCCTTTAGGGGTATTTCTAAGCAATCTAAGAGGTTGGGAATACATAATCTGACGGCTGCTAGACAGTGATACCACGATTCTGGAAATCAGTCGATGCCCCACATTAAATCATCTTTTAAGAGTGATCTCTGAAATCAGAGAAATGGAATATATTACAGTTCGAGTGGGTGACTACTCAGGTAATTTTTGATCTATTTGGGAACCATGAGATCACTCTCTCTCTCTTTGTAGAATTTCTTCCTCACCCCCCCCCTCCCCCACCCCTTATATAGCTCAGATACCTCTTTAATTTTAAGCCTCTGACAATTATTGTAACCCAACAATGTGCAGGTTTAGGTTGTCTTGTGTTTTTGTAATGTACAGTTTACCATGCTGTCTAATTATGTTCATATTTCTTTTGTTTCTGTTCTCTTTTATATTGATTGTGGATTTCTTTCACTGCAACGTTCACACCAAAAGTGTTGTTGTAACCTTGTTCTGAAAAATGGGCTTTTGGTCCTTAATAAAAATTTTACAACAATAAAAAAAAAAATGTAATCTCAATTGCCTGTAATGCCTTGACACATATTACATGAACTTTAACAGTTCAAGTAACTAAACACAACAAAAAATGTCTACAGCTATAAGTACAGGCACAGCATAGCACACAAATATACTCAAGGGTAATAATAATTTCTAGAACCAAAATCAGCTTACTGTTCACAGAAAAAGCAGTTTATAGCGGAAATTCACGTGGTAAATGTCCCTCCCTTACATTTTTGTTCCGTGTTCATTCGTTGATGAAACCTGGAATTGATTTTCATAGTTTTTGTCGATTGAAAACAATTCACTGAAAACATGCCGTCAACAAAAACTATGACGAAAATATTTTCATCAACGCAAACTACCACGAGCCACCACATCTAACAATTGGTAAGCTGCAATATAATAAATGTTTACTTTTGTGTTTAATACCACTTTAGGCTCTAACAATAAACTTGTGACACTAAACTATACAAGTATGTATTCCTAACTCAAAAAACTACCTTCTCATTTCAGAGAAAAGTACTCACATTTACAAATATATAAGAGACAGAAAACAACTCAGCCACTGTTGCTTCCGACGGCATGATGATGTCAACACAGGCTCTGCCCCAACGTGTTTTGTCGTAGGAGACATCAGCTGGCCCCTTGAGAATGTTGTTCTCAAATTAATAAAAGAATCAGGCGATTTTAAACTATGAAGCTTTTGTCACTTTTTTTCTCACTGAAATCCTGATAGATGCTGAGAGGCAGTGCTGCTTATAGCTGATCCCTACTGGTGTACCCTGTGGTTCTTAATCTCTATGCAGGATTGCTGCAAAGGTCCCCAGGCATCTAAGAGCATTTTAAGATTTCCTACAATTTTGGGTTCTTTCTTTTTGGTAAGAGGATGATTTTTGGAAGAGGTGGTGGAATTCACAAGGGGATTTCAAATGTCACTTCATTATGTATAAATTTTTGTGGACCTTATTTTTTTTTCCACAATTGGGTGATTAGTCATATTTTATATACGCATTGATTTCATTATATAGACAGCACAGCAATTTTTATTTCTGGATTTATCATACATTTATATTTGAGTGCAGCTGTACATATATTTATTTATCCTTTTTTTACATTAAGCACAGTTTTTTTTGTTTTAATTTGCTATTTTCTGAATGATTTGAAGTTGTAAGTGGCATGCCAGGGCTCTGTCCTGGGATCAATTCTGTTTAGCTTGTCTATAGACAATATAGTGATTGAAATAACTAGTTTAATCTATCTATGTTTACAAGAAGACCTTGATAAAATAGAGGGTTGGACAGCTATATGGCAACTGAGGCTTAATGTTGAAAAATGTAAAGTAATACACTTGAGAGCTAAAAATACATCTTTTGAATGCAAGACACCCATTAAAGGGGAAAGTGGGAAGTGAGAATGGATCCTGGATGGGTCCATATGCACCACATACTCAACCAGAGCATGCAATGCAAAGCTAAATAAATAAATATATTGGTGGAGCGCTGTTGCATAATGTAAAAACAAAAAATATATAAACCATAATCATATTGTAATTTCATAAATATACATTGTGATAAATCCAAAGTGATCTGACCCTCTAGGGATCTAAATGTGACACACCTACACGTGACACAGCAAACGTGAAAAACAAAATGGTCCCAAATTGACCCAATATAGTAAAAACAACAAGAAAACACAAACAACAGACAAAAAAAAAAACCCAAATCCCTAATTGGGATTTATGGCTTAAAATGAATCAAATAAAATAAAAACCTAGTGCCACATACTGTGAATCCCTGAAAAAGGGGATATACCTCCTAAATTAAGTGATATGTGCTCAAACAACACAAAAACCACAATTAAATACAGATGTAAAAAACTCTACCCTATCATAAAGCACATAAAGAACTAAACAATCTAATATGAATAAAAATATTGTATAGTGAAATATACAGAGATAAATATTTATAAAAAGTCCAAAAAAGTGGAAACCAGCAAAGTGATCCAATGATTCAAAACCATGCAGGTGATGCGGTGAATGTGCTTTCAAGCCAATGATAATAAATCCTTAAATGGCTGGATTGCCCCCACCTCCTTACCGCTACCCAATGGGCCAACGGGTCTATTGGATCACACCAGGATCCTTCACGATCAAAATCTCCTCAGTGGATGGTATCCATAGAAAATCCCCATCAATGGTGGCACTTATACATCACAGGCTCCCCTCCAGATATAGTTACCGTAATATAGCCAACTCACATATGGATCATAATGATGACAAAAGAGAAAGATCCTCCATAGTGTCATACCATTTATTAGATGTAAAAAAGCAAAGAAACGCCAATTGCCCACTCACTTGGTAAGAGATAAATATAAGCATTCAAAACCACATGCTATGGGTGTACTCCTGCATGGGTTTCAGGTGTGCCAAGATGGCGTCCACGCCGGAACTACGTCACCACGTACCTACGTTTTGCGTCACGATACCCACGTGACTTCCTCAGGGAAGCTGCAGCAACCAAGGCTAGCAGACTGCTAAAAATTATTTACCAATTTACAAAATGCTGGTTCAGCCTTATCTTGTGTAAGCAGCTCAATTTTGGTCACCAATCCATAGGTAGGATGTGCTTGAACTGAAGAGAATTCGGAGAAGGGCAACAAAAATAAAAAGGGGGCTGGAGGGCCTCGGTTATGAGGAACGACTACAGTCATTAAACTTATTCAACCTGGAGAAGAGGCTGTCATGAACTGGGAATCCGCTCCAATTAGGGGCAGAGTGGCTGACCAGAACTAGTTGCGAAAGCTGGTGGCTGGTGGCAAAAGCCACAGAGTACATACAAAGCTCTTGGTCTGCCTGCTTACTTAGTGACGGCGAGAGCCCTGAAAAGGAACCACCTGGTCTTCACTAGAGTTCCTAGAATTGGTGATGTTAAGCTACAGGTGATACCCAGGTTGTAGTCCTTTGGCTCACCCGAGCAGACTGCAACTGACAGCAGGTGAAAACAACCTTGCAGTGCTGGCGCAAAGGATGCACTAGGTAGCAGGTAACACAGGAGTGACAGCTAGAGTGCATGGAATTACAGAGAGAGACAGATGTGAAACACAGGCTGGGAGTGCACAGGTGCCGATAACAAGAGGCTGGTTGGGACTCACAGGGAAACATACTGGTGCAGAGAAGCAGGTAAGTGAGTATAGAGGAAGACATGGTGGTGAGTGTTAACTGGATGCTGGCACAAGTGCATGGGGTCACAGGTGCAGAACACAGGCCTGGGATCACCAGGATCACAGGATCAGGGGCAAGGACACAGGCTGGAGTGCACAAGGCTGGATGGAAGCTAGAATTACCAAAGACACTGGGGAGTGCTCAGATTACAGATACATTCATGTTCTGGTAGACACTGGGAACACAAGAGGTCATGGAGACCACAATGGAAGCCACTGGAAAACTCTAGAAAATACACAGGGGAACACAGGGGATATGGATGCTAACATGTGGATGTGTTGCTCGAGCGCTGAGCAATCCACATGCTAGGCATGTAAGACAGAGCCCCCACTGTCACTGGCTGGAAGCTGACAGCTGCACACAGAGGCAAGACCAAGTGCTGGAGCATGGAACAAGTACATGTGACAAAGGCTCTTATGAGGGATATGATTGGAATATACAAATCTTTCAATGGTGGCTGTAGTATTGGGAGAAATTTGTGTAATCTAAGGTCTCTGAAGAAGACACGCTACCACACAATGAAATTGATAAAGAAGTGGTTTGGTCATAAAAATGGTTATTTAGTAAAGATATGAAACTCCCTTCCACAGTATGTGGTAGCAGCAGAGAGTATAAATAATAAAAAAAAAACTATTGCTCAGTGAACACAATATACAGGGATGTGGAAATTCATGGTCAAATACACACACACACACACACACACACACACATATAGGTTGAACTGGACAGACCTGTGTCTTTCGTGAATCTTGCTAACTGTGTAACTATGGAAATCTGGACATGTCCTTGTTTCAGTAACTGAGATTTGCTATATGTAGTTAGATATATTCAACTAGACTTGTTCTGTTATGATGAAGATGTTTCGCCACTTCAATGGGTTCCATATAACTTAGAACAGGGGGGACTGATAACCCCCCCAGGGCAATAGGGGATGATGGGGCCCCTGTGTCCTTGCAGATTCCTGGGTTCCATATAGAACTTTGGACTATAGATCTTAGAACTTCGAACTGAGGAAGTTGCTTGGATGAGCAGTGAAACATCTTCATCATAACAGAACAAGTCCAGTTGAATGTGAAATGTGACTACTACCCATACCATGATCTGTGTAAATGAGGGCCTGTAAATGAGCATAATGACTGAATCCTCACATTTCTTTTCACCTGTTCTGTCTAGATTAATAGTACTTTGGAAAAATATTGGATCCATGTAAGCTCAGATGGATGCAGACTAGCACTGATCTGGAAATATGGAGGCATTTATATGGACACAGACATCATTTCAATATGGCCTATACCCCATATGGACTTTCTAGCAGGTGAATCACATCAGTATTCCAGCAATGGTGTTTTTGGATTTCCTCCCCAGCATAACTTTACCTGGACGTGCATGGAAAATTTTGTTAAGAATTATAATGGCAATTCATGGGGAAATCAAGGGCCTCATCTCTTTACTCGTGTTTTGAAAACGGTATGTGATTTACCACGTTTCAACAATACAGAGGATATCATGTGTGGCAACATTTCCTTTTTAAATCCTCAAAGATTTTATCCCATTAATTACCCGTCTTGGGGAAAGTTCTATGAGGTCTGGACCAAGTTGCCAACTTTCAATGAATCCTATGCTTTGCACCTTTGGAATTTTATGAATCATAACCGTAAAGCTATGCTACCAGGGAGCAACACTTTGGTGGAACATCTCTATCAACAGCATTGCCCTTCTACATATGCAACACTTCAGAGGAATGAAAGTATTTATACCTAGGGATGGCAATGAAGAAAAAGTACAATGCTATTTGTGCTAACTTTGTTTTAAAGTATGTTTTAAAGCGTATACATTCTTGAAACTGCTATTTTATATCACTTTTTAATTGTTTATCTTATTTTTTTCTTTTCCAATAAACACAAAAATGCATTAAATGCAGTTTGAGTGTTGGTAGCCCTGACTTGTTGCCAGCTTCAACCAAACTGGCCAGGGACACCTCCTATCATCTCCATGCTGAGGAACTAAAGCTGGCCATCCATGGAATGAAATTCAGTAGGGACACAAGAGTACTGACCTTCTGAAAAGTAGCATGCTAAAGACAGGAACAATACACACAATGATGTATAGTCAGGGAGAGTACTAAACCCTCAATACACTGCAGATCTCCAAAAAGGTGTAGAAGATGATGCATGTCTTAGTAGACCTGACGCATCTCCTCTGCTCTTGGAACTAACAATGAAAGTAGATAACCTCGTCAGCAGAGTGTTTAACTTTTTATCAGACCAGTTAGTGGTAAATGAACCCAACATATTTGCCATGTGTTTCAGTAAATAGCAGTATGCACATTAATGAGTAAGTAAATGATTATGGATTCAGACTTAAGCAGCACTGGCATTATTAGGGTAGGGGGATAGCTCCTTATTGGGTGAATTTTGATGAATAACCGCAATGGTGTTGCTAATAGTGGGGTGTTCTTTAGGGGTCAGTAATGTTTACCTGGTCAACAAAAAAAAGAAAAATTACTCTATGGCATATTGTGAATCATAAATTAAAAAGAGCTGCATATCCTATGTGAATATATACACTAAAAACAAAATAGGAGAAAGGGAGGCGTAATATGAAGAAAGTGCTTAACCTATACCCAATACTATATACTAAAAACCAGTGTATAGTAGTGCAAGTATTAACATACAAATATGTAAACCAGTCCATGCAAAATAAAAATTCATCAAATACATATGTGCAAATATATAAATGCTTTCATGTAAACAGTCCTTGAATATAAATAACAGTTTCTTCCAGCCAGCGTTCACTGGTCTACTGGTAGTACAAAATGCTCACATTAATAAGTGCAAAAACCAGCACTAAACAACCTGCCTGTGTATATTGTTGAGAGCGCTGCCACTCCACTCATGTCCTGAAGCCGCCATGCGCTCCAACTACCGGACGGGTAATTGGATGTTCCAGAATGGAAGTGATGTAACTAGAAGTTCCACCTTGCTGCGCATTTCATCAGAATGACTGCTTACTCATAATGCCATTCTTTGTTTTTGTTTCTTGCTTTGTTCATATTTCATTTCTAAATTTTACAACCACTTTCATGGAAAAAAATTAAAGCATACCATACTTAGTGAACAAGGCTAATAACACAGGCAGGGAGGAAAAATGGAGGATCATCAGCATAAGCAACGATCATATGTTCTGTAGTAGAAAGGGATAGTCCCTAAATTATTGCGTCAAATCTCATCTTCCAAAGAAATGGTTCAAGGGTCAAGATAAAGATTATTGAGGACAACAGGCAGAATTTTAATGCAGAAGAGATATACTATGGAGGAGATTTTACTAAAATTAGAGCACTCAGGATCTGGTGCAGCTGTGCATAGTAGCCAATCAGCTTCTAACTTCAGCTTCTTCAACTAAACTAAAACCTGGAAGCTGATTGATTTCTATGCACCATACAGTTTTAGTAAATAACCCCCTATGTATCTCCTGCACTAAAATTCCATTTCTTGGCTGCATGCCTTTGCACTGGGCTTCAAACGCATTACTGAGATGTGCTGCATATACACTTTAAGATAAATATCCTATTGTACTGGGAACTAGTTTCTAAACTACTAGTCTCATGCATTGATTAATGTATTTTTCAGTTCATGGAAAATATTGTAACAGGATCTAACAGCTAATTACAGGATTTAATCTTTCATGCATTGAGGTGTGTTGACAGCCCTTTTATAATGACTGCTTATAACCCAACCTAATTCAATGGATAGAAAACATGTTAGATAAAGTACATTGTGGGGTGAATTGGTTCTAACTAGATGACATTCAACTTAAATAAAACACTGTGTATCATAAAGATTTACAAAGTGTTTTTTTCTTTCATCAAATTCTGTTTTAACTAGTAATACATGTGTTAATGTGTTATGGATTTTTCTGGTGGCGACACTATCTATTTTACCTATTCTCTGCAATTGCACTTTTAGTTTTGTGTTTAGAGACTGGGAAACAGATTCTGCCAAAGTATTGTACAGGACCCCACGGATAGGTCCTAGACGAGTGCTATGTGTCACCAATATTTGGGTTGTGGTCCCTTTGACCACTTGTCCTCCTGAAGATTTACCCCCCTTCCTGACCAGGCCATTTTTTTCGATACAGCGCTGCATTACTTTAACTGAAAATTGCGCAGTCATGCAACACTGCACCCAAGTGAAATTTATTTCCTTTTTTCCCCACAAATAGAGCTTTCTTTTGGTGGTATTTGATCACCTCTGCTTTTTTTTTGTGTGCTATAAACAAAAAAGGGCAATTTTGAAAAAAAAAATGAATATTTTTGACATTTTGCTATTAAACATGTCCAGTAAAAAAATGTAAAGAATCACATTTCGTCATAAATTTAGGACAAAATGTATTCTGCTACATGCTATAAAATCCCAATACGTGTAAATTAATTGGTTTACATGAAAGTTATAGCGTTTATGGCGGTATATATACTGGAATTTGTTTTTTTATTAGTAATGGCAGCGATCAGTGACTTATAGCGAGACTGCAGCGGGCATTCTGAAACTGGGGGTAACTGACTTGGTGTCACTGACATCCCCAGTGACACCAATACAGAGATCAGTGCTAATAAAAAGCACTGACATTGTACTAATGGCACCTGGCAGGAAGGGGTTAACATGAGGGGCGATCAAAGGGTTAACTGTGCCGTTTCACAGTGTGCTATGCAAGTGCTTTCCACTGTAAGCACACTGCTTTGTATGGCTCTGCTATGCAGAGCCATACAAAGCAGTGTGCAGGAGCTGACAGGGGAGAGATCTGTGTTGTTTATACACAGGTCTCTCCCCCATCGGAGATACTCGGTGATCACTGAGTGTCGGCAAGAAGTCACCAGTGATTGACAGCTGAAAACGCGAATGGCGGCATGGGTAGGGCGTGTACACGGTGTGCACATGCCTCCTACCTGGAACTGCAAAATCACATATATATACGTGATTTTGCGCACCTGTGCTGCCCTGCAGCAGTATTTCTGCTATAGGGCAGCATAGAAGCGATCAAGGGAAAAGCTTTGTGTGCTCAAGAGCCTCGCCCATAATGGGTGAGACATTCCAGGATAGAGGAGTAGAGGAGAGGAGAGGACTGACTCGCAGTCCTCTTGGCATTGGTAAACGTTTATTTGGGAATATGAATTTTGCAGGTCCAGAGTGATATTCGGGTGGGAAAAGGACCTCCACTTCTTACTATGGGGACCCCGGTCCCTGGAGTTTTAAGCAGCCTCCAGGAAGCAGCACATAAAACTGTAAGCTCTCAGTGCTTGGTGTGGGGGGTGTAGGAGTTCAGAGGAGACCTGGCTGTGTACTGAAAACTGACAAACATCTGAAGCTGAACACTGATAACTCCGGGGTAAAGCACATACTTGAACTTTGTGTATCTTAATATTTTGGTCTGTGCTGAAGATAAGCAGACCTTTTTTTTGCTTTTTCTGAGGTTTTGTTTTGCTGCTGGAAACTATATTCTGTTTGCCTTAAAGATAAAACAAATAAAGACTTTTATGTTTAAAGCAGGGCTCCACCCAAAAGAGGAAGTTCCACTTGTTTGCACCCTCCTCCTTCCATTGCCACATTTGACACTTTTTGAGGGGGCGGGGAGTGGGTACTTGGTTTTGACAGGTACCTGCTCCCACTTCCGGCTCAATTTGCCGCGGTGACACATCACAGGTCTCAGAAGAATATGGGACCGTTCCCAAAGTGCAGCTCAGTAGGAATCTGGCTGTGAAGCTACAATGCTTCACTTTTGGTTTCCCTTACTTGCTATGTCGGGGCTAGGAACCCAAAGGCTAGTGAAGAACTAGCCTGGGTGAGGGCAGAGCTGTACCCCTGGACAAGTAAGTGGCATTATATTAAAAGATAACAGTATTTGTAGCTGCTGACTTTTGATTTTTTTTGGGGGGAGCCTGGAGCGCTCTATAAGATAAACGCACAGTGGCTAAATGGTAGCACTTCCGCCTGGCAGTACTAGGTCATTGGTTCGAATCCCAACCACAGCACCACCTACCTGGAGTTTGCATGTTCTCCCTGTGCCTGAGATGGTTTCCCCTGGGTACTCCAGTTTCCTCCACTCTATAAAGACATGCTGGCAAGTGAATTGGATCCTGTCTAAATTGTCCCTAGTATGTGTATGTATGAATGTGAGTTAGGGACCTTAGACTGTACACCCCTTGAGGGTTAGGGATTGATGTGAATGTAGTTATTATATATATACTGTATATATATATGTAAAGTGCTGCGTTTATTGGCATTGCTATATAAGTACCTGTTATAACATGATCCCAAGGTGCTACACCCCCCTGAACTTCACACTCCTCAGGGGACACTAGATTGAATATCTAGTGCACCTTTTTATAAAACAACTTTTGCTGAATTGACAAACTTTCCGCAATCCATTGAACTTGGTATTGTGAAAGTCATAAAATATTCTCCATTGCCTGGCTAGCAGACTGATATTTGTGACATATGCATTTCTTCATTCAGCCTAATCTGGGTCAGATTTCAAGTCTCTTCAATTAGAATGTTCTAAAGTATGCATTAATCTGCTCAACTAACCAAAGAGCTAGCCAGTATTAAGACCCACCTAGTCTAAACCTTCTGTTTTTGGTGGACACTGTAAGGCTGAATCATCTACTTGCTTTTATATTATATACTGTCAAGGGATTGACTAGGGACTCAGTATTTATTTTTGTAAATTACTTTGCAATGCTTTGTACAAGAATCATAAATTTAGTG